TACCTTTAATTGTGCTTGCTGTTTGTAGCTGTATGTGTCTGATGTTGTAGGTATCAGAGGCTAGGGTCAGTAAGAGATAGGACATTTTTGTGCATAACCATTAATCCCTAGGCGATCGGCTCGGGGGACCTCTGGTCCGTACGGAGTGCAAGGCTTCCTGGTGTTGCACGGTGACCAAGGGTGAGGATGGAAAAAGATGAAGATTGGACTCTCATGGACTAACGTCGATACCTGAGATGAAGGCTAAAGGACCCATCCCTGATTAATTACATTGGGGTTTCTGCTGGAGGAGGTGAAGAGGATAACCAACGGACAAGCATAACAAGAGGACAAAGACATCACCACAATGTATCATTGTTTTATAGGCCATCCGACGACCGCGACACCAATAGAGGAATTGTTCACAATGACAGATGAGTAAAATGCAACTACTCTACACCCTAGACTGGTTTCCATACCTGCATTCACGTCATTATAATCACATCTGTGGATGCAAAGACTTGACTAGTCTCACTAACCATACAATGACGGCATCACTTAGCTGATGTCTAATTACTTTTGTTCCAGTTTTACAACTTTGATTGTTTTATTTGTCCGAGGGGAGGTTATAGGTTTAAGGTGTACGTAAAGCTTTTGCATGGGCCGGAGGGGCCAGGCAGATCTGAGGTAATAAAGAGACAAATCCTAACAGAATATAGCATGTGTGTATTCCTGGTAAACTACCAATAATGGGCCCAGAACTAACATGTTTCTGGATAAGTGCTTAGAGCACATTAATGACAATGTTATAGGTCATAATGCTGCGGATTAATTCCTCGTATGCTGGGGATTCAGAACCACTGATGATAGGCGACCCAACATATGAGTTTACCATATATTCTTAGGTTTCACATCATTTTTGTTCCCGTTTGTGTCTGAGTTCTTTAACTTAATGTTATAACATACCCATGACTGTTGGTACTCCATTTCAGGTGCGACAGATCTTCTGGTGGGTGCTGGTTGAGTGAATCATTGCATGCCGTGCTGGCAAACTAGCTCTTTAATTTAGGATAGTGAGTAGTATAGAAAGGGGGTGTGAATGTGGGGATGGTTGCTTTGTCTTTGGGTCTAATATTTAGGAAGTTTTTGTGGTAATAGGTTTATAGGCAATTGGCGTGCTAATTCAAGTTTTTCTTGTTGACATGTTGTGTTTTGCTCGCTGTGGGGAGGATGGAGTCGGCACCACCACGCTGCACGAAGATGGACAAAGGGAGGACTGAGCCAAGGACTTATGCCTTTGCTTTCCTGACAAATAAAGGACACTTGTCCACATAAAGCCCTCCTGCAGCAGAAAGCCTCCAACGCCGACATGGATGCTGAACTTGTATTTTCCGTTTTATTCTTTTGAATGAAGTTTTCAACCGGACTTATTACTGTTTCATTATGTCTTCGCTAAAGCTAATTGTTCATTATTCATCATATTTGTCACCTGTTTATCTTCATGTGCTTTTGTTGATTTGTGTGTGTTTTTTCTTTTGATCACTGACGAGGATATGTGCCACCAGTGTCCTCGCATGCACGCTCTGTGCTTCAGGCGTTCGTCCCGGGGTCGGGGAGGACATGGAGGAATTTTCCCTGTTAAAGTACAGCGGACAGGGTTTTTCGCCTCCATACGGAGTGCGCATGCAATACATTCGTGAAGTAATGGGTTCAGTTAATGCTAAAGTCATGTTTAATGTATTGTTTCATAGTTTTTCATTGTCTCAGCTGTGAACTCATCGGTTGTTTTTCAGTGTCTTAATCATTGTTCATTACATATACATGTTAACGTTGCTGTGTTAGTCTGGAACATCATCTCGTGTTTTGGCATGGGTTCTCCTTTATGCATTTTTTGATTCAAGGTCATATGTTATGCCCTTTTGTCTCTATCCTCGGTCATATTGTTACATTATCATTATTTGTTGCTCATTTGTTCTGTTACTTAGTTAAGCATTCATTGCTAATTTGCTAATTTGTTTACGATAGCAATGTGTGGTGGACAAGTCCGCCAAAGGGAGGACTGTTGGCGCCAAAAAGGTCAAGAGGTCATCTACAAAATGTATTGAGTTAAAGCTGAGTTCTTAGGTTGAAAGTGTTTTCTGGCTAGAGTTCGTGTGCTGTTCCAACATCAGCTCTGAAGGAATTTCCTGTTTTGGTCTCTGCTTGCTTCCAGTAAAATTGCTTAAAGCTTATCTGACTTGCTAAAAATACTTGATGTGTTGCTGTGTCCCAGACAGAAGTCTCCACCCACAGTTTACCAAATATGGTCTGGTTCTCGCCGGTTGACTAATGAATGTTCAAAGGCTGTGAGCTATAAAAAGGGAACCACTCTTTTGTCTGGGTCTTTCGGCTGTCCTGAGATGTGAGAAGACAAATAAAAGACCACGCTGTCTCGACTGAAAAAACTCTCTCTGACTCTTTTCTTTAAGAATAACAGAAATTGCCCACAGGAGGAGGAGGGGACCGGGGGACACTGTGTGCACCTAGATAGCTTGCTCCTGTAGCATGCGGCGAACCATGGCAGCTCGCCTTCTATGGTACCGTCTAGACGTAGGACGGAGCACTTCACACCGCTTCCGTTATTCCTTTAACCATTGAGTATCATCATCCAGGTCTCTTATCCGTCTACGTTTGCGCAGACTCATGCTTAACATAAGTCCAATCAGTGAGAAGAATTCTAACTCTTCGTCTGCCATGTTTGACTGAATGGCATTGTTTGGGTAAAATGACGCATGTACACCCGCCACACCATGTTTACACAATATCTGGGTACAGCCCCCCCCCCCCCCCCCCCCCCCCCTTTCCCCCCGGACATCTGGAACTTTTCCCCGCTGTGTGAAGGCAGCCGAAAAGACAATTTCAGGTACAAAAGTGGTGTGTCTGAAAACACAGTTCTGGTTAAAAACCGGACTGAATTGTCCACACATATTCCAGAATGTCAATCTGAAAAGGGTTTATGAGTCAAGATGCATTACTATTAAATCTCACTACAATTATCTGACTTGATGTTTGCAGAGTATTTATCAATTTAAATGACAAGTTAACACGTGACAAGTATTTCTGTGGTACAGCTAACTTGTTATTGAAGACAAAATGTCCACCCACCTTCAGAGGTCAGTTAATGGTTTGGTGATCTGTGGAGTGCAACTATTAGTATAAATGAATATTTGGTGACTTAAACTGCTAAAAAAAATAAAGAGAACACAAAAACTAAGACATCCTAGTTCTAAATGCATGAAATATTTTTAATACTTTGTTCCTTACATAGTTGAGTTTGCTGACAGTAAAATCACACATATTATTAATGTGGGATCTCCTCCCAGACCTAGATTAAAGCATCCACCAACTCCTGGACAGTCTGTGTTGCAACGTGGCGTTGGTGGATGGAGCGAGAAATAATGTCCCAGATGTGCTGGAAAATCCCAGTTGGATTCAGGTCTGTGGAACAGGTGGACCGGTCTATAGCATCAATGCCTTCGTCCTGCAGGAACTGCTGACACACTCCAGTCACATGAGGTCCAGCATTGCCTTAAACTAAATGAAAACTATGTGCCATTGATGTGCCATCCTGGATGAGCTGCACCACCAGAGCCACGTGTGTGGGTTGTAGACTCCGTCTCATGCTACCACTAGCGTGAAAGCACCATCAGCATTCAAAAGTGACACTTACACTTACTTCTTTGATGCAGAGCGTTTTTCATGTCTGACATACTTTGGATTTTCCAGATTGAACAATAAAATGTATTATTTTCCTCCTGTTAAAGATTAATGTTGAAAACACTCAATATAATATTGGGTCAGGAGTTTATCCAAGCTGTGAGGAGGGGTCCACCCTTGTCTGGTCTCCATTTAAGCAAGAAAATATATAATTCAAACACCAACACAAAAACATTAATGCTTCTTTAAACATTGGTTTATGTGTGTGCCATATAAATGGTAAATGTTATCAACAGAATGTTAAATGTTTCATAATTCAGATGAAAAATATGTAATTGCAATGAAAAATGTAACATAGAGAACTTCATTTCTCCAAATGTCAACTGTTTTTCTTTCTTTTTTATTATAACAAGGTAGTAAAATCCAGTAAGGTCAATGAATAAAATCCCTCAAAATATGGGCAGAAATGTCAAACAGGGTTGTATTATTCAGTGAAAAACAATGTTTTTAGCATCTAAAAGTTATAATTCAATTTAATTCAATTCAAAAATACTTTATTAATCCCAGAGGGAAATTGATTGCTGTAGTAGCTCAGAATAATAATAATAATAATCAAGTCATCAAAGACTTATTGTATATTACAATGGCTGTTGGCAGGAAGGATCTCCAGTAGCGGTCAGTGTTGCAGCAAAACTGAAGAAGCCTCTGACTGAAGACACTCTTCCGTTGTCGGACAGTCTTGTGAAGAGAACGCTCAGGGTTGTCCATAATTCTCTTGATTCTCTGGAGAATCCTTCTTTGCATTATCTCCTCCAGTGGTTCCACAGTCGTCCCCAGAACAGAACCATCCTTTTTTATTAGGCTGTTGAGCCTTTTCAGGTCCCTGCTTCTGATGCTACTGCCCCAACAGACGATGGCTGAAGAGATTACACTCTCAACAACAGACTTGTAGAAGACCTGCAGCATCTTGCTACAGACATTGAAGGACCTAAGCGTCCTCAAGAAGTGCAGTCTGCTGTGTCCCTTCTTGTAAACGGCTTCGCTGTTCTTTCTCCAGTCCAGTCTGTTGTCCAGGTGAACTCCAAGGTATTTGTATTCCTCAACCACCTCCACTTCTTCTCCCATGATGGAAACAGTGTTTGACTCCACCCTGTTTCTTCTGAAGTTTAAAATCATCTCCTTTGTTTGGTTCACGTTCAAGGTCAGATGATTGTTTCCACACCATGCTACAAGCGCTCCACCAGCTCTCTGTACTCAGCTTCCTGTCCATCTCTGATACACCCGACAACTGCAGAGTCATCTGAGTATTTCTGTAGATGACAGGTCTCTGATTTGCACTGGAAGTCTGAGATGTACAGGGTGAAAAGGAATGGTGAGAGTACAGTCCCCTGTGGTGCTCCAATGTAACTGATCGCCTGGTTTGATGTGCAGTTCTTCAGCCTCACTAACTGTGGTCTGTTTGTCAGGTAGTCTTTAATCCAGGCGAGAGTTGAGCCCCCCCCCCCCCCCCCCCCTCGTGTCTTCTGGAGCTTCTGGCAAAGTACATCAGGCTGGATTGTGTTAAATGCACTGGAGAAATCAAAGAACATGACCTTCACAGTGCTGCCTGCTTTGTCCAGATGACAGTGGATTGGTTGTGGTGGATAAACACGTTCTGTATCAGTGGTCAACCTGACGAGCTAACAGATGAACAACAGCTGATGTTCCCTGTGTGCAGCAGAAAGAGGTGATGAGCTAGATGTTGCCTTTGGAATGAAACCTTTTGACCTTTGATATCCAGGGAACGCAGCGGTTCCATTCAGACACTTGTTGCATTTTGATTTCATACAGTTCAATGCACTTAATGCAAGGAAAACCAAACAAAATGAATCTGTGCCAACATCTCATGAGTAAAAGTAGAAATAAGAGCAATGAAACATCCATTCAGCTCTACACAAATCAGTCGACCTGATGGAAAATTTAAAAATAGGATCAAAAGAATCACTAACACAAAATTTAACATAGAATTTAAAAAGAAGCAGTTGAACTTAGTTGTGATGGTTTGAGCTGAATGTAGATTTGAAATCCAGTTCTTACACTCACAAAAACGAGTTATTAGTAAACATCTGTCACTGTTGTGCAATATTAGAACATAAATTGACCTTAGACGTCATTAGCTCTTGATGGTACACCTTCATAGGCTTGAATACTAAACATGGTTGCATTCACAGAAAAACAAAGTCAGTTAAATGAACATTATTTAAGTTAACCTTTATGGTTTGTGCAGTCTCGGGACACTTCTTGTGCTCCATCTGCTGCAAATGACACTGCTAGAATCAAGCAAGTAACCAAAATTGCAAAAACATTAGAAAACAGATGAAAATGCTTCCTTAGAAAGCAGGTTTCTTTGCCACCGAGGATCTAAAAGTGTCCCATTTTTACACATTACTCTGCAACTGGCAAATGAGATGTTAATGCTCTCTGCAAAAGAGGGAGTAGAGCTTTTGTTGAAGGCACTGCAGACGAGAAGAAGCTTCAACAGCAAGGTGGTGCTCCTAGGTGAGGTGAATCCAAGGCTCTCTTTCTAAGTCACCACCTTGTCTGGTGAGGTATGTGGAAGAAAGTACCAAATCTGAGGAGTGTTACAAGACTCCCGTAAGATTCTCAAGTCTCTAGCAGCCAGACTCCTTCTCATCGACAGTTAGGTAGCAGTTCTTTTTCTGATGATTGTCTCCGCCTGCTGAGAAGGTGGCCAGTAGCCTCTCCTGCTCCTTCTTGGTCTTCGGTAAGTCCGTGGAGGGAGTCTTCAAGAGAGCGAGGCGCTGCAGACAAAGAAGTCATCAAATTATAATGAATTAACCTTTATTTACTTCTTTCAGTTTAACAAAAGAAATGGTGAAAATGGAAACTTTTAAACAACACTGAAACAGTCAGAGACTCCCAAACTCCGAAGATAAATTACAATTATTTTGATTTTGCAAAAACCTTTTTGAAAAAACAAATGAGACTCCAAACAATAGATTGATAAGTAAAAATTTCTGCAATGTTTTGGCAGAAATGGCTATTGTATATGTTTGTATCTGTACCACACTGAGACTACGCTGCATCAGTACTGATAGACTTCCATTAACTTTTCAAATTCATTTTACTAATAAATCAGTTGATTTGAAACATGAGTCAAGACCATCGTATACTGCACATATAATGTCCATAGGCTTGAATTCTAAGTTTTTGATGTAAAATGGGAGGTTCCCACCACCACCATTTGTCTTGTCATGCCCAGTCAATCCAAAAATGGGAAAAGATGTGGAGCTGAGGGTGGGGCTGTTACGGTTGGAACAAATGAACCAGTGTAGCTACTAGCTAACTTAGCTAACCAAAGAAAAGAAAAAGGGCTCAGAGGTAGCCGGCCACCATGGCTGCCTGGCTTTTGTGTGAGGCTATAGTCATGCTGGTCACCTGTGGAGATCTAATATGGACTGGGACTGTTAAATTACAAGAAGAGCCTCAGACCGATGCGATCATAGCTGGGCGCCATGGCCTTTTAGATCAGCTCATGATCCATGGTCAGAGGTCAGAGGTCAGCGGGACATTAGCTACATGCTAACCCGAAGCTAATGGAGTTTTCCGGTCATTTTTAGCAAGAAAAACATGGTAGAGCAACTCCAAAGAGAAGGCACCTCCTTCCTGCTTAATAGCAAAATCCTTACTAGGCAAGCTGATCAAGGATATCGGGCTTTGCTGGTACACTGTGGTCAAAGATCCGCAAGTCAACCATTGTCAACGCTCCCAACTCGGCTTCCAGCTCCATGTCACACTCCCAGCAGGAGACAGGAGAGTCGACTTGGCTACTGGTGATGCGTTGACATGGAGCCAGGAGCCGTGTCGACACTCCCAGAGTTGGGAAGCATCTACAATGGCGGACTCGTGGATCTTTCACAAATTCGGACCAAAATGGCCCCTTGGTCAAGACCCAGAGATCCATAGATTGACAGGCGGATTGGTGCTGCGTCTGCAGTGATGCGGGCATTGTACCGGTCTGTCGTAGTGAAGAGAGAGCTGAGCCGGAAGGTTTATTAGTCAATCTACGTTCCTGTCCTCATCTATGGCCATAAGCTTTTGGTGGTGACTGAAAGAGTGACATCGTAGATACAAGCAGCAGGGTTTCTGGGCTCTCCCTTTAGCCTAATTTATACTTCTCCATTAGCTCTGTTGCAGAGTCATGCATACGCTTTGAGAGAGATGTTTTGCCTTTGGACTTCTGTTACCTGGAGAGTAGGGATGTGTATTGGTGAAATTTTGGCATTTTGATACGTATCACGATATGGAAAAGACAAGACAATGTATCACGACTTTTTGTAATACATTCAGTCAGATGTTATTATTAGCAATTTTTTTAGACCGAATTGTAGGAATATTTAATAAAGTCCAAATAGATACTTAAAAATGTTTAACATGAGGTATCTGAACCATAACAGAGTGTTTTACATTTCAACGGTAAAAACAAAACCCATTGCACACTGCTGCCAACTAGCGGCCGGTGTTTGAATTGCACCAAAAGAAAAGAAAATACACAAATGTTTGCATGTAAATTCTTCTAAAAATTAGATACATAGCTTTTGAATACCGATATAATATGTCAGGAAAAAATATCATGTTCTATTGTCATATCGATATTTTTTTTACACCATCTCATGTTATCTCCCTACTGGGGAGTGTTGCAAATAATGGATTGCATGTTGGTCACAGATGGAGAGGTATAAATCAGGTTTTAGAGACAGGGTGAGAAGCTCGGAGTAGATCTACTGCTCAACCACATTGAGAGGAGCCAGTTGATGTGGCTCTGGCATTTGGTCAGGATGCCTCCTGGTGAGGTTTTCTGATTGGACAGTCCAACCGGGAAGAGACCTAAGGGACGACCCAGGACACGCTGAAGGGTCTATGTTTCTCATCTGGACAAGGGACGCCTTGGGATTCCCCCAAAGGAGCTGGGCCAAGTAGCTGGGCCTCTCGGCTTAGGCTGCTATCCCTGCAACCCGGCCTCGGATGAGAGGATGAGAATGGATGTATGGATGGAAAGTTGTTTTTTTTTTACACTTTTTTTGTGTTTAATACTTATAATCTCATTGGTCTATTGACTCACCTGACTCTCCCTACAATGTTTACCTGCCTGAGGAAATACACATGGAAATTAGCCAGCAGCTAATGTTTCAAATGGGTTTTCTATCTGGAGCTTAAATCAGTCTACATGTTGTTCCCATTTGGCAAATAAACTGAACCTAACAGCCAATGCTAACTTAAATAAGGTAGTGTGACTCGGGTTGCAAATGACCACAGTCACCAATTCTTGTGTGTACTGAAACTCTAATTTCCCTCTGGGACAAATAAAGCTTTCTGATTCTGATTCTCTGATTCTAAATCTCACTGGTTATTTTGGTGCTGAAACCAACCTTTAGCAAGTTAACCCTTTGACCTGCAGGTCATCTCACTGAACACTGCACTGAACAAAAGTACAAAACAGCCAATGAAATAAAAAGTTAAGTCTTATTCATACTTTTTAAATTAAAGTCATCATCTTTTAAATTAGCCAAATTTTTAAATAACATTGGCTGTGCCACTTACTTCTTTCAGGGTTCCTGGTGTGAAGTAGAGCTTCCCTGCCATCCAGAGGGGGATGCAAAGCATGGAGGACAGAGCCAGGATCCAGCCAACCCCATCCCCCCACAACGGGTACACATACTCATTGTTGTACTTCAGAGGTGAGTACTTGATCAATGCAAATGCAAAAGTTCCCTAGAAGCCAAAAAAAAAAAAAAAATCAAATTAACGGATGTGAAGCTGAATGCCATATGACTAAAATGATTTTCACACAGCAGCACCTAATCTTAAAACTACAGGTGTAGAAGGCTCTAATTAACTGAATGTAGTTGTGAATGTTGACCTGTAGAGGCCGCTGTAAGAGTGTGGGGTAGAAAAAAATGTGCAACCTACCAAGCAGGTGGCTGGGGTGAAGAAAAGCCAGCAGTATTTGATGATGGGCCCAGGGCGGTAACCAATCATATCCTCAATGTTGTCATAGAAACGCTCAGCCCCTGTAGACACAGTGCAGAAACATGGCGGGCGCTTTTATTAGTGTCATCACTCTGAGCAGCAGCTGCTTAAAGATAAAATGTCCATTAATTAACAGATGGGAGCTAAATATCAGAGGTGTGACCAAGTCACTCCTTTGCAAGTCACAAGTAAGTCACAAGTCTTTCCAGCCAAGTCTCGAGTCAAGTCCAAGTCAAAGACTACCAAGTCCAAGTCGAGTCCAAAGTCAATGATGTGGAAGTCCAAGTCAAGTCCAAGTCCTTAACTTAGAATTTTCAAGTCATATTCAAGTCATCTGTCCAACTTCACTTTAATTACAATGATAATAAATAAATTCCAGAAATAAAGCTTCTTAAAGCTTTGTTTATTTGCTCAAACAAGCAGAAAGTGCAACTGAAACTGATTATAAACAAAGTGCTGCTGCTTTTAGCAGGAAATCAAACCCAGAACGAAGAACGATTTATGATTTTTGTCCATGGCGTGCCACTTTTGTGCTAAAATATCAAATATGCTCAAGTCATCATCAAGTCAACAGATGCAAGTCACACGTCATTGGTGTTCAAGTCTGAGTCAAGTCATAAGTCTTTATAGATTTTATCAACTCAAGTCAGAAGTCATTAAAATAATGACTCCAGTCCAAGTCATGTGACTCGAGTCCACACCTCTGCTAAATATAAACATCCTGTTGTGTTTTACACAAGGGCGTATATGAAGCTTTCCAAATATACTTAAATGCCTACTCACCGTAAATCCAACCAATGCAAACGGTCTCAAAAATGGCCACAAACAGTAGACACATCCCACTGGCTGCATAGTAGTCAAAGAGCTGGAAGACATACATGCCTCCCTGCAGAAACAGACGGGATGCAGTATGTAAAAATGCATGATGGCTACACTGAAGCTTTCTTTTACAAGTGACTCAGCTTTGTGTTAATTGCTATATTTGTTCAACTATACTGATAATACCTGTCTGCTGTGTCAAAGCAGTCAGTTTTTCTTTGTTTTTGTCATTTTCTGCTTTTTTGATAATATGATGTGGTCATAACCCCTTCTCAGAATGTGAATGATCCCTCAAATTTCCATCTTGTGAACTCTTTTACTGTGTGTGAAGTAGGTCAGCCTAACCTCTGTCAGCATTATGAGCCCCACAAGGAAGGAAACCACAGCTACTGCCAGGATGAAGAGCTCCCTGCGGTTTTTACGGCGGAAAACAGAGGGATACATGTCTACCATGGCTGTCACTAGGCTCTCCACACAAACAAACTGACAGGGAAAGAGATAAAAAGCATTAATATTTGCATAGGTTCTGTAGATGCCCTATGAGTAAAGATGATTAGTGATGATCTTACCTGGCTGTCAAGTCCCAGAAAAACAATCATGACAAAGAAGCAGCAGGCCCAGAGAGGAGAAAAGGGCATCATGGTCACTGCACGAGGATATGCTATGAAGGCTAACCCTGGACCTGACACACACACACACACACAATGCTATGAAGGCCAACCCTGGACCTGACACACACACACACACACACACACACACACACACACACACACACACACACACACACACACACACACACACACACACACACACACACACACACACACACACACACACACACACACACACACACACACACACACACATTTTGATGCATCTAAAGAAACATCCAGATGTCTTGTTTTATCATTGTAGAGATGCCACTCATTGAGAATTTGACTGAAAACAACACAACATGATCAGTAAAATCTGATTTGAATAAACTGCAGTCTGCCCACTCACATACGTCATACATGTCTCTAGATCACTTGACTGGCCTGAAGTTAATTTTAGAAGTGATTTTAAAATCATCCATCCATCCTCCGCTTATCCGGGGTTGCGGGGACAGCAGCATAAGCAGGGAGGCCCAGACTTCCATCTCACCAGCCACTTGAGCCAGCTCCTCCCGAGGAATCAAAAGATGTTCCCTGGCCAGCCGAGAGAAATCGTCTCTCCAGTGTGTCCTGGGCATCGGTCCTGGGTCTTACCTTTGGTCTCCTCCCAGTTGGACATGCCCGGAAAACCTCAGCAGGGAGGTCCTGACCAGATGACCAAGCCACCTCAACGGGCTCCTCTCGATGTGGAGGAGCAGGGCGTCTACTTCGAGCTCTTACTTAAACTCTTCCGCTTGAGGCAGGGCCTCATGCCATTTCAGCATCCTGCAGTTTACTCTTAAAATTCTAAATAGACTGGGACTTCTTTTACCTGAACTTCTTCACTTTTGTACTCCAGCCAGGACCTTCAGGTCAGAAAACCAGCTGCTGCTGAAAACCAGGATGACCAAGGTTTTGGGGTGGCAGCCCCGAAGCTCTGGAACAGCTCTCCAGGCCTGTGGTCACTTTTAAATTCTCTTTAAAGACCCACTTTTACTTCCTGGCTTAAAATGTTTGTTTTATTTTTTGCTTTTTCATTTGTTCATTCGTTCATTCATTCATTCATTCATTGACTGTTTTGACTTCCTTTTAGCATGCATTTGTAATTGTTAGCCTTTTTCCATGGCTGTGTATACTTAGTTTTATCTGCTCAGCACTTTGGTTTAACTTGCTGATTTAAAATTAGCTCAAAAATTAGTGACTTGAGTTGAGAGTTTAACACTTTTCAGTCTACCTAACAAAACAATGATCTCATAAGCAATGAAACAAAAACAAACCAGATTCAGCCACTTCTGAGATGGGCACATTTTGCTCGTAGGACATGAAGCCCAAGATGGAGAAGATGGCAAAGCCTGCAATGAAGCTAGTGCCACTGTTCAGGAAGCAAAGGCACAGGCAATCCCTGTAAACAGCATAAACAAATGAAATGTTGCAGTTATTAGAAACGTAATACATTTGGTAATGAGCGCAGAATGGTTTAATCATCTAGGCTAGATTAGATGAAACTATATTATATAAAAGCAAACCGAATATAAATAACAGTTTAAACAATTTTGAAGCTGATAGGAGGTGGGAGAGTTGTCATCTCTACAGGTTTGTTTCCTGAAATGTAAAACCTCACTTGTAGCAGTTGTTGTTATATTTGTTGTAGCTTCCCAGTGCAGTGAGGCAGCCAAGGCAGATGGCATAAGAGAAGAAGATCTGAGTTCCTGCATCCATCCAAACCTTCAGAAGATGAATAAATCACAAACAGAAAAAAAAATCTGAGTAATTTTACACAAAGGCTCACATTTTAAAGGGAACAACTCAAGACAATTACTGTCTGAAGCATCATGGGTCTGCATGAACCCTTTTCAAGCCTTGAAGGTGAGGACCTGTGTAAACGTGTTTGGGATTAATCCCTTGACTTAACAGTTGCTCTTTGATGAACAAAAATGTGTTACAAAAATATGTGGTGACATGTTTCAACCCCGCAGGTGGCAGGAGATATTACATTTTGTTCCTGTTCACTTTTATAGGGAACACAGGAACGCCTTTTAATTGATCACCTTTCAGACCCGGTCAAAAACACTTCATCACTCAGAGAGGGTCCAAACTAAAACTGAAACTGATAAGAGCCTGCCCGTAAAAGCTGTGATCATTCTCCACCTCTAAGGTGTTAAAATACAGAACTTTCTGAGCACTCAGTCACATCTTAAAATTCTAATTAGGTCTGTCCTTCTTTCTTCCAGACAAGCGCTGGCAGAGATGACTGAGGATCTGACTGACTGGGGCTTCGTCCAACAGCACAAACACTGGGCACAGCAGTGCACAAAGCAGATTCTCCAGAGACAGCGTTCCACCAGGCTGGCTTAACTTGGCCCAGCACTCATGGGACTCGTATTCACCTCCTGTGCCATGACAGTGAATGAAGGGGGCCCCACTTTTGGATTTTCCTGCTTAAAGTGTAGGTTTTTTAGATTTTAGCAGTAGTAGTGCATAGGACAGGCCAGAGTATGGTTGCTAGTGACTCTATAATGTCAAAACTTTCGCCCTAACCCTAACTCTCTGACAGAAAGAGGTTTCAAGAGGATGATTCGTCAATAATCTGAGAGCATAAATGTTTCCTTTAACCTACTTGTGGGTCAGACAGCCGTCCCAAGTCAGGGTAAAGATAGAAGTGGATTCCCCTGGAGGCTCCAGGCAGGGTCACCCCTCTGATCAGTAGTACAATCAGCATAACATACGGGAAGGTGGCTGTGAAGTAAACCACCTGCAGGGAAAATGAGTTAAGTTCTCGTCCAACGCATGACAGAAACAACAGAAAACTCTTTCAGTTAATTAAGCACTAAGCTGTCTGATAGATGATAATCTATGCAGACTGCATTGGCTTTGTAACTGACTTAAAACACAATATGCTGGGAAAACTAACTTCAAAGGTTAAAGTTTTGCTCCAGGTGGATATTTTTCCCTTGTAAATAGAGTTTTTTTCACCTTGCCAGTGGATTTGACTCCCTTCCAGATGCAGAAGTAACAGATAACCCACGCAACGGCCAGACAGGCAACCAGATCCCAATTCAGAGCACCGATGTGATCAATCCCTGATGAAATCCTCAGCACTCTGCGCCTGTGGTACACACAAAGGCAATAGAAACAGTTCCTAACTGATGTTGTTGTAAAAGTCATTAGATGCTCTAACACAGAGGTGGGGAACCCTGGTACATCGAGGGCCACTATCCAGCATATTTTAGTTTCAACCCTGCATCATCACACCTGATTTCAATCAACAGGTGATTCACAGGTTTCTGCAGAGCTGATGAGCTGCAGAACATGTGAATCAACCACTGAATCAGAAGTGTTGGAGCAAAGACGTGCAGGATACCGGCCCTCGAGGACCAGGGTTCCCCACGCCTGCTCTAACAACTTAACAAATCACTTTAAATTGTAGGTGCATTTCCTTTCTGCTTTATGAGGAGACGGGAAGGAAAAAATAGAGCACTTACTCCCAAAACTCTATGACAGGAGAGGTGGCGTTCTCATGGAGAGTGATGGAGCTATTCCCCCTCTGAAATACCGTACAGGAATCTTGAATGAAGAAAAGACAAAAAGGACATTCAATCCTGTGAAGAAATCCAAGCTTTCTCTGAGGTTTCCAAGTTACACTCAGACGAGAGAAGCAATGTCCCCGCTGACAGAGAAGAGTGAAGTGAAGTAGGAACATTCCCTCCCTCGACATAAAACAAATGTATGAATGAGTGAATTGATGAAGGAGACCACTGAAAAACCTCACAGTCATAGTTGTGACATTCGGGTTTGATTAAACGTCTGAAGCCTCCCTGTGGAGAATGAAGGCTACATGCTAACACAATGTAAGCAGTAAGAACAGTCGTTTAATCAATAAATTAGCATTGGTCTCTGGTAGGATTGAATGCCTTGTGTAGCGTACAAAAGGCCAACAGAGTTATTTGTCCACTATAAGGTCAGAGGTCATCACACAGAAGTGTCTAGGCTGTTTAATCTGCCTGAAGTTTGGTGGGCCACGTCTTAACAGTCTGGTCTCCAAACCAGAAAACACACATTGCTCTTTGACCTTGTAAACAAGAAGGGAAGCCATAATTAAGTATGTCTCCATGATTCCCTTATCTGAGTGCACACACTCACACTTTCAAATTGTCTCTGAATGCTATTGGACAACAACCACGTGACATACTCACTGATATGAATGTCAGTCGACAGGGCAGTTCACCATACACTGTTTAAGAAGACACAGATATGTCCTTTTTCTAAATAAAGGATTGAAGTGCCTCTTTCTGCTCTTGACTTTTAAATAGTTTAAACACTGTAGTCCAAAGTTGATGCAAAAGTCATTTAAAACAAATCACTGCCATCGAGCCACGCTGATAAAGGGCTTTGACTGGCAAGACACAAACCTGCTCAAGCCAGTGGTAGACCTGCTGAGGCTCTTAGCATGACTAGACCAGTCAGCAGAGCAAAACCCTTTTGCTTTTGTTACAGCCTGACTGGACTTCTATGATAGAAATCAGGTGCATTTCTATTCCTTTAAAATGTAAAAAATAAAAAATAAAAATCAAAGTTGGATGTACTGCAGTTTTTCTGTTGGATTTTAGCTGTTTACTTGTTCAAAATCTGTTTTCTCGGTTGTTGTCCGTAACTTCCTTTCAGACATCCAACCATCTGTTGCAAGAGACCCGGGACTGCCGTTGAAAAGATCATGTTTAAAAATCAGTTATAATAATTAAATAACAGTTTTACAGCCTGATTGTCATCCTTGTAGGATTTCAGTTTTACCACAGTGTTCCTTGTCTCATACCACAATTGTTTAAGCTGCAGTGCATCACTGAACCACAGCTAGCTCACATCTACACAATAAAAATAATTACACAAAGTATAATGCATTGTCCAAAAAACAGCAAGAGCAGAGACAGACCGTTACCGTGCTGGTAACAGTTTATAATTATGTCTTGTTATTAAACATTTGTAAGTGTTTAGTTATTAGTATCAGTGTTTATTGTTAGTATTATTAGTATAAGTTAAGGTATTATATAATGATGTAAAAATTATTTATTATTTACAAATACATTTATAAGTGTTTAGTAAGTCATTAACAGATTATTTATAAGGTTTTAGGTAATATATTCATTGGTAAAAATAAGGATCCCTTTATTTATGGTACATAGTGCATTATTAGGTATTAATTAACAAAACATTTTTTTATTAATATATCCAATATTGTTAACTGTTACGTGTTGTTAAGGCTAAGACTAAGGGCCAGAGAAGGGTGTTTGCTTATTAATGCATTTTTTCAATATTAACATTAATGTTAAGCAGTTGTTAATACTTTATTTAGTTGTTTATTAATGCTTAATAATGCACTTAGTAATGTTAATAAACGGACCCTTAGTGTTACGTATGCATTTCATTTTTAGAGGCTGTGATGACATTTATAAATGTCTAAATATTTATTAACTAAACATTTACAAATGTGGCTATCTACATTTTATAATGGTTTATTGCACCTGAGATCAGTGGACTCAGTGGTCTCCTTTTTTTACCGTGTCCTGTCTGGCTGTGAAGCAAGCAGAATTGATGTCTGAATGCTGGTAACAAGCCTTACAGATTTACTCTCAGGTGGAGCATCAAAGCGTCTGCTTTTAATGTCACGCCTGATACTTAAAACTTTATTGTTATTGTTTTTGAATGCTTTGTAATTCCGACCAGACACAGAGACAGAGGTGAAAGAGAAAGGAAAGGAAAAGATGGGTAAAGAGAGAGAGGGGGGGGGGGATGTTCCACAAAAATAAACAATAATGAACAAGAGTCTGCTTCTAGACCTGCAGAAAAAGACAAAAAAAAGCAAAAGGGCAAAAAAATGGGACACAACAACAATACAACAAGATCAAGCAATCACTGCGTCAACTTGATGAAGAAATATATAATCAACATTGCTTAACTGAAGAATCACGATAATAAATCACAGTGCATTAAGTGCCCACCATAGTCTTAAGACCTGTGTTTAATGTGCCCAAGCCCATACTTTTGAGAGCACCATGTGAGCACCTATGTGTGTACACACGCTTGTTTATTTAAGGTTTCTCTATAGGAGCGTCCAACAGAGAGTGTGAAGAACCACAGATCCACCCCCCAAAGATGCGCAGGAGACGGGGGGAGCTCCAAGTCCCAGAGATCCAGGCGCTGCCCCAGAACACAGGAACCCCAAGGAGACTGCAACCAGAAAGGCCCCCGCCCCCCTCAAGAGGCACAGAGGATCGCCCCGGGGGGCCACAACCAGCAGCCGGCAGAGTCCCGGGAGACATCAGCAGCAAGCCCACAGGCCCGCCCGCAGCCTCCCACCCCCTAGCCACCCGAGCCCGGGACCCAGCGACCCGGGACCCAGGGGCGACCACCCACGCCGGGGACCCAGCAGAGCCCAGGGACCCAGACCCCACCAGGCAGCCACCGGGATCTATCAGGCAGATGCCAAAATCTTAAACCCCCAGACCCAGTTGCCACGAACACTCAGGCAGACCAAGGCACAACCCCTCACACCAGGTGTGGCAGGGGCAGGGGGGACGAAGATCTATATCATCAAGAGAAGTTCCAGGAGAGGGGAGGAGTCAAAGGCCCCACCTGACATATACAGTCATACACAAACACAGTCACACACTCCCTCCCTCATGCTCACACATGCACATACAACCCAAGACTTACAAATATGTACGCCGGACACCCACTCATGCTCCCCATACACACCCTATTCACTCTGGTCCCGGTACTGCTGCACATTGGGTACAACCATCACCGGTAACCAGAGTTTGACCCTTTCTGCTGGGGTGCTGATGAGCAGGCTCCCCCGCCCAACGCTGAGCACAGCAACCCACCACCCCAGACCCCAACCAGACGGCCAGATCTCCCTCCTAGCCTCCAGCCCCAGGAAGCCAAGCAACAACAGAGGTGGCTAAGACCCCTAGTCTTCCTCCGCCTGCTCCAATATAGTGTTGTGTGATCATGAGGTGTATTCCATGGCTGTGGTGAGTGGGCAGTGCAGGCATCATCCGGCCTATGCCAGCTGATGCCACCGCACCACCCCACTTACACCCTCAGCCATCAGTGTCTAATTGCGGTTTAAAATTGGAAGTGGGCACCGGCACTCGGGAGGAGGCTGAAATATCCCCCTGCCAAATGCCGTTGAATGTGCTCGCTCCCAAGGCCCTAAGTGTGTGTTTGTGTGGAATGTCGTCAGTGGAAGTGTATAAGGTGCAAATAAAATTGGGGGGCAGGTTGCCACAGGAATGCGGAAATGGGGTTCATACCCGCACTCCCTGACTTGCCCACCCCCCAAGGTCCTATGTGTATGTTTGTGTGATGATGTGAGGGAGCAGGAGAAGAGAAATATGCGGGGATGGGGAGGAATGGCTGGTTGGGCTTAGCCCTCCAGGGAGCCAGCTCCCCTCCTGGCCCCAATAGGCACCTCCGTTGTCAAACTGCCACCCAGGGCATGGAGACCCCAGCCCATCCTGCCAGGGCCCAAAGCAGCAGCATTACAGAGCCTCACGGAGTCCGAGGGCACCAACCCAGCCCTACCCCAGCAGAATATCTATGCCCATCCCTGCATTTGCACAACTTCCGGAATATATAAGACATGGGACATCCAGGTAAGGTTGGGTCCTCCCCCTCCTGGACCTCCCTCTCCCCTGTGATGGAACGGCAGAGGAGCCAAGGTCTACCTGAGGCCCCCGAACCAGGGCCAGGCACTGCTGCATGTTCCTGCCTTCTTCCCGGCAGCATACATGTCAGGACCCGACCCCCAAGGCCCCGCCCAGATCCCCACCCGGGGCCGGCCACCCCCAAACCCCGAGCCCCCAGGCCCCCACCCAGACCCGCCCAGGGGCAATGCAGCTGCCAGGCAGTGACCCATGGCTGCCGCCAAGATCCCCAAGGGGCCCCACTCACAACCGCCAGTAGTCCACCCCCTGAGGCAACCCAAGCACCTCCAGAGGGGGGCAACGACCCCCAGTCCCAGACACCCCCAGTGAACCCACCTCCAGGGAACATCCGGGTACTCCAAACTCAGACCCCACACCCTCCCACCCACACCATCCTGCAGGACAACATCAACGGCCCCCCACCCTCGCTATGTGATGGAACCGATCAAAGGAGCCCAGAGAGATTGATCTGAAGTGGTGATAGATCTATCTATCTATCCATCCATCTATCTATGTAAAAAAAAATTAAAAGAAAAATACATGTATATATAGGGGCTGCACAGTGGCGCAGTGGTTAGAGCTGTTGCCTTACAGCAAGAAGGTCCTGGGTTCTCTTCCCAGCCTGGGACCTTTTCACATGGAGTTTGTATGTTCTCCCTGTGCATGCGTGGGTTCTCTCCGGGTACTCTGGCCTCCTCCCACAGTCCAAAAAGATGACTGTTGGGTTAATTGGTCTGCGTGTCTAAATTATCCTTAGGTGTGAGTGTGTGCATGATTGTTTGTCCTGTGTGTCTCTGTGTTGTCCTGCAATTGACTGGCTCTCTGTCCAGGGTGTACCCCGCCTGATTGCCCATTGACCGCTGGAGATAGGCACCAGGCACCTCCTCTGCGTCTGCTGTCTGTATATGTTAGAGGAGGAGGACGTCTGATGCGCTTCACCTGCTGTTGCGCACGCTCCCGCTGCCACGTGTGCTCTCTGCTCCCCGGCCGACACGCTTGTCCCAGCGCATCGCCACAAATGAATTCTCTCTAAATGCGCAAAAGATGCATCACTGCTGTTATTGCCGCAAATACAGCACATCAGGCAAGAGGACAGAACAAATGGAGACACCATGCACGCTCCTTCAGTGATTGACGGCACGCAGCACCTGAACAACCAGTGGTCAGATGTAGAAGAGATGGTATCCAAACAGAGATATAGATCAGGAGCATGCGCAAGAAAGAAAAAGTCAAAGCCAGAGGAGGAGTGTGTTGTTGGAACAAAATAAATAAATAAATAAATAACCTGCTGGGTTGATGATGAGCAGGCACCCTCGCCCAATGCCGAGTAAAGCAACCCACCACCCCAGACCCCAACCAGACGGCCAGCGCCCCCTTCTAGTCTCCAGCCCCTAGAAGCCAAGTGACATCAGAGGTGTGCCAAGACCCCTAGTCTCCCTTCGCCTACTCCAATACAGTGTTGGTGCGTGTTGATGAGAGTTGAATTCCATGGCTGTGGTGGGCAGCCAGCGCAGTCCCACTTCACCCCACAGCCCTCTGTGTCTAAGTGCAGTTTAAAATTGGAAGTGGGCATCGGCACTCAGGATGAGGTTGAAAGATCCTCTTGCCAAGTGTGATCACTCCCAAGGCCCTAAGTGTGTGTTTGCGTGGAATGTCGTTGGTGGAAGTGTTTCATGTGCAAATAAAATTGGGGGGCAGGCTGCCACAGGAATGTGGAAATGGGATCCATACCCACACCCCCTGACTTGCCCACCCCCCCCAAAGTCCAATGTGTATGTTTGTGTGATGTGAGGGAGCAGGAGGAGCAGCAGGAGAAAAATGTATGGGGATAGGGAGGAATGGCTTGTTGGCCTAAGCCCTCCAGAGAGCCAGCTCCCTCACTGGCCCCAATAGGTACCTCTATTCCCAAAATGCCACCCAGGATATGGAGACCCCAGCCCATCTCACCAGAGCCCAAAGCAGCATATTTACACATTATATCAGAAATATTGTTCATTTAATTGCATTGTTGTAATTCAGTGCAGTAGACGGTTTGTTTTAACCTTCTTTTTCTGACAAGTTTCAGCTAATGCTGTAGCCGTCCTCAGAGCACTGTCAGTGTTGGTGGTGTTACCTCCTTCGCCGTTTATCTGTGGGCAGCAGAAGGTAATGTCTCCACAGAGAAACAGAGAGTAAATAAGCCACTATCATCAGCAGTGCTCTGAGGAAGGCTACAGCATTAGCCAAAACTTGTCTGGAAAAAAGGTAAAACAAATCTTCTACAATGCTGTGTTTTGAAAAGAAATAAAATAAGGAAAGGATTGAACAGAATGAACGTTCAAAAGACTGTTAATTACAATTTTGTTCTGTATCATTTCATTGTATGATGGTCTGAAAGGACTCCCCTGCAAAATAAAATAGACATATTTTTAAGGAAGTCATTTGAGTGGGTGGGCCATTGTAGAAAGTGGGTGGGCTTGGGTAGCCACAACTAGCTAGGGATAACAATGATTGTAACTGCAGTCATGCCAGTACTGTTCCCATCATTAGGTTTTCTGTAAATGCAACAAAGAAGATAATCTGATTTGTTAACCAGTACTTCAAAAAAATATACCTGAATCAGTAAAACAGCAATTAGCCAATTTCCCGATAGAAAAAGGTGTTCCCTAGCCAACTGCTTAAAATTGGTAGAACAGAAACTCTTGATAGACGTGCTGCACATTTGTGACTTTTTGTGATTATTTCACTTTAACATTATTACAAGTTGATCCTTTAAAGCATTATTTGCACTAAAGTTGTTAAATGGAAATGGTTCTTCAACCAAGAAAGATAGAATACAGAGATCAATTGTTGCTACACAGAAAAACCTCTGATATGTTCCTTGGAAAAAGTCCAAAATACCTAAAAACTGCTTTCATATTATTTCTTGTACCTTCTAAATTTCATACTGTCTTGTATTTAGCAACATCTTTAAAACATATTTTATTATATTCTCCATGTAGCTGTTTTCACACAACCAGTCAGGAGCCATTCCCCTGATAGGCTCCCCATTATGCATACGGTATGCACATTTGTGTCTGCAACCCCTCATCTCTACTTGAAGATGCCTGTCAGCCATCATTACAGTACTGGAAACAATCAAAGAAAATATGTCTAAAATCTTCAACATGCTCATGTCATAAAAACCTTTCATGCCTCACCTGTGTTCCATGTGTTGTTGCAGGACGCCCAAGGTAGGTCCCAGGTGAAGGAGTTGAACAGATAGAAGATGGCCCAGGCTAGCACAACAATGTAGTAGACATTCAGGAGAGCAACAATTACCTGGGTGGCGTAACCCACTCCTGGTACAATAAAGGAAGAAAAACGAATAGAAATGTTATAAGTGAATCTAAAAAAAAGCATTTCTTGTGTGCAGCAGTTTTTTGTGTGTTAAATCAGCATATTTGCTCTAGCTGTTACCTCCTGACCAAAATTGCAAAGGTGCAATTTGGAGACAAACTGAGCGAGAGGCTTTACGGTCCCATAGGAATAATCGCTGTTCAGGATTTAAAATTGTTCCCAGAAGTAATGGTTTTATAATTGAACTCTTATTTTAACACTTAATGCCCTGGCTCCTCTCTAAGAACTATCCTCTGGTGGTTAATGTACCAAAAGGTAACCAATTGCTTAAAATGTTCCATGTGGTGCTTTCTGGTTATTACATTCTGTCATGGTCTGCATCCTGCATCTCCCTCATGTGTCTCCTTGTGTTCTCCATCCCTATAGGTTCTCTTCATGTGTCTCCTTGTCTGCTTCCCTCCTCATGTGCCTCTTTGAGTTCCCCTGCCCACTCCAGGTTCTTCCCTTGGGTGTTCCCTCCAGGTTACAGTGTCCCTGTTTGTCCCCAACCTCCCTTCAGGCTTTTTAGGATTTTTTCTTTAGTCACCCTATTTTATTAGTCTTCTGTTAAGTGTTTTTTTCTAGTCAGATTTCTCCCTCTAGGTCAATTTTGCTTCCTTCCCCATGTTTTAGTTCTGGCCTCTTCCCCTGCTCCGTTGTATTCCTCTGTTAATTGGCCTCACCCGTGTACAATTCCCTAATCACCCATTCCCTGGGTATAAAACCCTGTCTGCGTCTCTATGTTGTGTTGGCCCAGTGTTCATGTCAGCATGGTTTTGTCCCTCCCCTCTTCTCCCCTCCTTCGTGGTTTTTCCAGGTCTCCAGGTTTCTAGGATTTTTTGGCTTTCGCTCCAGCTTGGATTTTATTTACATTTTGTCTTCCAAATAAAGGAATGTTTTCTTTCACATCCGCTCCTGCCTCATGTCGTTCTGGGTGTCTGCTTATTGGGTCCTAGTCCTCCAACCCACCCCGTGACACATTCCAGTACACAAATGATTCAGACACATTCTGAATCATGGATACATAAACATATTGCACGGACATGTCTGAAATTCTTCTCTCAAGCCACAATTTTGCACAGACACGTTTGCTAGTGTTTTTCCAGGGTGACGCCTTTATTTTTTACGTGTCCTCAGATGTAAATACTGCTGTTGGTCCAGCAACAAAATTTAACATATTTGCATTTGTGACATTATGAGGATGCATCAATTCAAAGTTCTGTAAAATGACCTTCAATGATATGTAATGAAGGAAATTGTATAAGGTTGAAAAAAAGGGGTTTACCTTCAAATAATGGGCAGACTTTTCGCCAGCAGGTGATGCCTCCCTCACTGGTATACTGACCCAAAGCTGTCTCCAGGAAGAAGACCGGGATCCCACAGGCAAACAAGAAGATGAGGTATGGGATGAAAAAGGCTCCTGCAAAGCAAAATTCCCAGAAATATGCTGCAGATTAAAATGAAACGAAGCTAATTAGGTACATTATTCAAAGAACTTCTTTGAAGGACCATCCTTTCACGAGTTTGACTTGACTTCTGCACAATAACTTTGCAAATATATTCAAAGGCAAGACTTAATTTGTATGGGATGAGAATGTAACCTTACTGCAAATAGAGAAAGTAAAACTGCTAAAAAGATCAAAGCATCCTTTATCCAAACACCCGTTTTGATTCATAACCTTGCATTTAGTCAACGAATGCTCTCAACGTTTGCTCAGAGTTGAGACAGGCTAGGAGACACTCACCTCCTCCATTTTTATAACAAAGGTAGGGGAAACGCCAGACATTTCCCAGGCCAATAATCTCCCCAGCCACTGACAGAACAAACTCAATCTTGTTGCCCCACTGACCCCGGTCTATCATCTTCTCATCATGGCTTGGCACAATGTCCAGAGGTTTGCTGTGTGCGTTGGACGGCTCCATTTTGGGCATGTTCTCCACATCTCCTGTCTGACCTTAAAAGAAAAGAAAAATGTTGTTTTAAAAACTGAAGATAAACATTTACCTTTTATTTGGTATAACTTCATCAATCAACCAAACCTTTTGTCACGTGGGAGAAATCTAACAAAAACACACTTTGGGGAACATTTCATCAGTAAGACTAAAACACATTCCAGATTAAAAAAAAGTTTTTGTTCTGTCAAATTATTCAGTGTCACATTTTCATTTGTGGTCCTCTAAACATTTCAGGGGTTTCAGCTCTGACATTTTTGAATTCTCAGACAGTTTTAAGTTTGGTTTACAGTTTAAACTTGACCAGAAATGAAGCTCATTGTTGCTTCACAGGTTCCTTATCATCCTATCTTAAAGCTTTGAGAACAATGATTAACCCATACACACATGTGAATGTGTGTGTGAATGACTGATTGTGTTGTAAAGCACCGTGGGGGTGGGGGGTGGGGGTGGGGGGGGTCAGGACTCTAGAAGGCACTATATCAAAAACAGGCCATTTACCATACAGGCCATATGTGATCAAATATTACTGTTGGCACTGTGGAGATGTCATCAGTAACTCCATGCAATCTGCTGGGTTCCTTATATATAACCTGGCCTGTCAGACTCCACCTCTGTTTAATTCTGCACAGAGAAAGGGTCTGGGAACTCTCCTATTAAAAAAAAACCCACCCCTGAGAATTCTAACCGGGCCAATCAGAGCTGAGTAGCGTGAATCATACACCACAACGCCGAGTTTGTCGACCATGGCGACTGAAGCGGAGTTCGCTGCGGCTCTTTCTTCTGTTCTAAATGACTTGAATGTCTTTAAAACCTCAGCAAGTAGAAGCTCTAAAAGCCTTTCTTCTAAAAAAAAAAAAGATATCTGCGCCATTGCCAGACGCCTTGCTTTACAACGGCTAAAAAACCACAGTGTCGCGCGGTACAGTCGGCATTTCCGTCTTTTTGTGATTGGTTATTTTTGAGCTGCCTAGTCCCGCCCCTCAAGTGCCTCTCTGCCTGTGAGTTACCAGACTCTTTCTCTATGCAGAATTAAACAGAGGACGAGGCAGGCCAGGCTATATACTGACTGGCATATTGAACCGAAATGGAATGTTTACTGTGTGGAGTGCTTTTAAGACTACTCTTGTCATGAGTTAGCACTATTTGAATAAACTGAACTGAATTGAATTTATTTTGAAATATGTTTGTTTTTGAGACATATTTTCAGCTCGGAAATGGGATGCTTGAATTCCATGAATTCCCTAAAACCTCAATGTGAGTTTATCCTGAGATCCCCCAGAAAAGCATTATGGGCCACAAAGAAATGGACAAAAAAGAAGAAAGCAGGTTTGGTGGCGTAAACAGCCAGTGGTGGACTGGTCATCAGGAGCTCTGATGGGAAGTCCGGCTCGAGAACCGGTTCTTACGGCTCGGCTCACTAAAATGAACCGGCTCTTTCAGCTCTCAAATGGCTTCTCACATTTTTTTTGTTTCTTTAATTAATATATCACCAAAAATGATACAAAATTGCACGTAAACCAACTTACTAATCCACAAATATACATTATATAAAATGTTATTGTTATTTAAACAAGATATTTTATTCAACATGAGGCAGAGTGCTAGAAAACACATTAAAAAGGACAAAAATAAACTGATCAAGACATATTTTCCCTTTGCATATTCCTCTGCCTTTTAATTGTCACTGTAGTTAAAATGTGTCCAAATCTTGGTGCCTGTCCGGTTTTTACCCATGTCCACATCTTTCTGAAGTTATTTTTCTTTTCTCCTCTTTTACAGATTTGTTCCCACCAATATTTACAGGTCCCATCACATTAATGTAATCATACAGCTTGAGTGAAATAGTTAAAATACTGAAAAATACATTGTAGTAACAAAAGTCCTCAGCCAAAACATGTCATAAACCTTTCCACTTGTTTAATTGGCATTTAGTGACAGAACTAGCAAGGGGCTGAGCACAGATCCTTGAGGGAGTCCTTTGCCCTGTGTAGTGGTGTGCAAGGCTTCGGTACCAGCACACACTGTTTGTTATTGTTATTATTATTTTTTGATAGAGTATCCAAAGTCGAGTTACAAAGTGAGGTTTGATGCAAGTAAATTGAATTTTGAGCTGCTGTGGTTAGAAATTGGCAGTAATTTTTGTTTATTTTTTTCCATATAGGAGAAGAAAATATTTGTAACGGGTACACAAGATGTTGGAGAGGTGTTCCACGATTCATTATTTGAAGCACTTCATGACAAAAGAGGCCGCTGCTGCATGCTTGTTGTCATCAGAGAAGGTTGGAGTCATTTCCCTAGACAAGGCTCTGTGGCCTTGTGTTGATGTGGCAAGGTGAATAAATGAGGGCCTGGGCAGGATTTGATCCCCAGACTCCCGGGTGAGAGTCATACACTCTAACCAGTCAGCCAAAGGGACATCCCCTTGGTCAAGTAGCCAGGGCGCATCATCAATCAGGACATTGTGACAGGACGCTCACACTGTCACATTGACTCGGTTCCTTCACTGTCTCAGCACCTGCCCAACCTTTTCTGTGTAATTCAGAGCTGCAGCCATACTTACTTGTAACTTTTTAAAAATGAGCATTTATTTCTTTGTTGGATGAGTTCTGTGATGACTCTGGATCTTATCACATTGTTTAAGGTGGATCAATCCTTCAGCTAGAACCAAACAGCGCGGTCAGTGTTACACGCAAGCCGTCATCAGAACAAAGGAAATGTGCTCATATGAATCATGGTTACAATGCATGTGGTTTTTCTGCCTTTCCACATTTTCTCTCGACACCAAATTCAAAGAACTTATGCATTTGATTGGGATACTCTCATGGCATCAGCTTTGTTCTAAAAATTTCATCTGAAAACATCACTTGGAAATGGAATTCCATTTGTTCCCATGTCTTGTCTGAAGTCACCTTTGGGAATGCGTTGCCGCTGACAGTGTAGAGGTCGGGCACACGTGGCTTGTGTACATAGGGTTGGAAACCACTCCACTGGCCAAAATCGCCAGCACAGGAGCCCAACTGTGGCGGCTGTAAAAATAGAGCTCCTTGTTTATAGAGAGCACTTGGTAGGAATGAAGACTGCAACAAAAGCAGAGTAGCCCCACTCTTTTGCGTTGACAAATGGCGGTCCTCTCTGGATTCACAGCCAGATCCCAGTTTCTCGCTATTTTTTCACAGTTTCTCTCAGGATCACTCACCTCATCTTAGAAAGAGTGAGTTACAATCGTTAGTGGTGCAAAAAAAGGTTTAAGAGGGGAGCATAGTGAGAAAATTAGCTTAAGCTAGAAAATATGCCATTAAAACCCTTCAGATTTATAACACTAAACCAGGACATGCACGGGCTCCTCTAGAAACAGACTCAACTGATTGACCAAGGGAAAGGGTGACAGACTGACCTGCCGAACGCCTGGCTGTCTTTACAGATTCAGGAGGAGTTTAGTGATGGGAGATTACACTTGCCATACGATGATTACAACTTCTAGCAGTGAGAATAAACTTTCAGTCCCACTGTAAGTGGTGAGGAATCTGGTGCTAATGGCTTATTAACTCAAAGCGCCAGGTTTCTGTGCTGCTGTAAACTGTTTAGAACCAGGCACAAATAAATGAGAAGAGCTTTTTTTCGTATGGTCAGAAACCTCAGAGATTTCCCACACGATGAAAGTAAAGGTAAAGGTCTGGTTCCAGGGAAAACCACGTGTCTCTATACCAGGTGAGAAGAATCAGTTTGCTGATTGGTCAGATTGGCTGGAGGCAAATACAGGCCAAGGGACAACACAGTTTAGGCCACCCCCTTCGAGCTGTTTATCAATAATTTTATCTCTTCAGTGTTTTTACAAGTCAGAGCTGCTCAAAGATCAGCAAAGCAGTGCATGCTTTTGTTGGTCCATTACACTTTCCTTTGTTCAAACTTTCAAATAACATACTTACTGTCACTACAAAGGTGAAATGCCTTGGTCATCATTTAAATAATCAATTAAGTAATGATGATGACATATGAAGTAGGATGTGAAAGTTAGGGCAGCCTTGGAAAAATAGTTGGTTTTTATGATATACATGTCAGTTTTAATTTAAATATATAGGAGACACACACAGTGATATTTGAGAAGTGAAACAAAGTTTATAGGATTTACACAAGAGTGCAGTAATCGTTTAAGCAACATTGGGTTGAATGTTTGTAAATGCAGATGCGTGCACTTTTAAAGCCCTTTTAGGAAATTGATGTTTGCCTTCAGAGAACATGTTGATTGGTCGGCCAACAGTATTATTGCAGCAATCTGCGATCCTACTTAGTCGCTGTCATTACACATCAGGATAAGGAAGGTTGATGAGTTTGTGTGCTGTATCTTCTTAAGCATGTGGATCGGACTGTAGTGTGTTGCCTTTTATTCTCCTTTTATTTTATTTTTGAGTCAATCTGTATTTTTCATCTTTGTAATGTGCTCTTATGTATTTTGCAAGCCTATTTTATGGATCTTACTTGATGACTTATGTGATTTTAGATATTTGTTTTAAATGCTGTATCTGACCTTTGGACCTTTGCGTCTGTTAATATAAAGTCTATCTATCTTGGTTCGTGAGTTTGCCAGGTTTGTCTTCAGTGCTGCATCCCAGAATGCAATGCAAACTTTCCTATTGGAGGATGTTAACTCAGTCCTACTGTGTTCATGTTTATCCATTTGGCTGACACTTTTATCAAAAATGAGTAACAAGTAGGGCTGGGCGATATGACAATTTTAGACCGTTTTACGATCTACACATCTGACGGTCTGTCATTTTTGAGAGACCTTTTTATCACGATTCACAGCTCTGCTGTTGAAATTCTGCCTCTGAATGAAAAGGGAACTTACCTCCGGTGAATGACACGCCTTTGTTTGACCCTTAACCAATCAGAGTGAGTCATAGTAATATATTAGTGCCCCGCTTGTTTTCACCTGTGTGTGAACAAACATGGCTTCGGGCGCGGCTGAGAGGACAACGAGGTTTTCGTTCCGAAGAGGAACGCCTCATTTGTTATGTGGAACTGGTTTGGTTTTTCACCAGATGACAAAGAGTAGCGAAATGTCATTTGCAAGGAGAGCGTCAAGGCAAGTGATGGCAACACCACAAACTTGTTTAATCACTTGAAAAGAAGGCATCCCAAACAATAAAATGAGAGCCAGCTGGCAGCTAAAGCTAAAAAGCCTGCGGCTGCTGCTGCTAGTGCTTCTTCCAGGCAGCAAACGCTAACAGAAACACTCACAAAACTCACTCCCTACGACAGAGACAGCAGACGATGGAACAGCGTGACAGATGCAGTGACGTACCACTTGGTTAAAGATTTGTGTCCCGTGCGAACAGTAGGAGTGGGATTTAAGAAAATGATAAAAACATTGGATCCGCGCTACGAGTTTTCCAGCCGCAAGTATTTTTCGAACACAGCCATTCCACGCATGTATGCTGAATGCAAAGTGAGAGTTGCAGAAAATATTCAGAATGCGCAGTTTTTTGCTACCACAAGCGATCTCTGGTCCAGCCGCACATCAGAGCCGTATTTGAGCTTAACTATCCACTACATGAGCAACTGGGAGCTACATAGTATTTTGAACAAGTTAATGTTTGCACAATACGTTTGCAATTGACATGTTTGCACTTTAAATATGTTTACGATTTTAATTTATGTTAAGTTACTTGAAAAACGAGAAAAACTGATTTTTGTAATTGTTTCTCTCAGGGCTTTTATCATCTCTGGTGTGAGTTTAAAATATAAGTGTGTTAGCACTGTGTTGATTACCCCTAATATGAATAAATGTTTATTTATTCAATGTTTCTCTTCTTTAATACGCAATTGAAGTTATGCTGTTCATGGATAAAAAATCGTAATAAAATTGAAATCGTGATAAAATATTGTAAAAATCGTGATATTCTATTTTTGCCATATCGCCCAGCCCTAGTAACAAGTTACCTTACTTGCCTGTTTTTGGCAAGTGGGAGGAAACAGGAGAACCCAGAGACAACCGATACATGAGAACACACTAACTCCACACAGAAAGGCTACAGCCAGGATTAGAACCGACAACCTTTTTGCTGCAGGACAATAATGCTACATACTGTGCCACCATGCATCTGTATAGTTGTTACTCTGAATTGAAGTTGGATCACAGTCAAGCCTTAAACTGTCCTGAGATGACTAGCGTCAGTCCTGCATCCTAGTGCACAGCACTATGGGAGAAAAGTCAGCAACGTTTGATTTAAATAGACCCAACGCTGCCGATGTAACAACAAACCCCTGCAACAGTGTTTGCATGAACCAGAATTATGATTTTATTTAGTAAGTTGTTTAAAAAGTGCAGTAATTAACTTTTATCTCAGCCTTGCCATGACTAGCCATTAGTTTCCAGTCAAAGTGAATCTCTGTTTCTCCAAGTTGAGGTTGTTCAGAGGGTTATCTAGCCGATAAGAGCAACCCACTTAAAAACAACTGAACGATCACATCATCGACCTGTGTAGGTGTGCTGCTGACTTTAAGACAGAGCATTTTCTCTGCATGTAGCTGCATGCCTGCATGTTGTCTGGATAAAGGGCGGCTATCAGAAAAGCAAACTTATGTCCAGTAATGATAAACTAGAGGATAGTTAAAATTGCCTGTAGAGATGAAGAGGTGAGGCGAAGTGCATAACTTCTTAAGAAGAAGTCAGAGAAGCTTCCCCTCACCTTTAAAAGTTGAGTTTGCTTTATTGTGTTATCAGGAGCTTAGATCAGTGGGAGTGATCAGAGCTTTGACCCTGAGATGAAAGTAGAAACGGATGTTCGTTTATATGGCGATGAGAGAAAATAACTGGTCTTTTATGTTCTTCAGGTTGTTAGATATTTTCGTGTTCAAAGGCTCCTCTCAGACTCATTACGGCACTTCCCCAAAGGCCCCAATAGCTGGATGACACATACCTGCATCAGTTCTACGATACAAAGGCACAAGTCTCCTCGTTAGTTACACATGACGCACGTTACAGGAGCCAGAAATGCCATTAATGTTTACGCAACATCGTTCACATCTGTGCAGAATCTGTGCATATGTGAACTTCAGAGCATGTTTCGCTTCTGCACATGTCCCATTTAACAAGGCCATCTCATCTTTTAGTGCATGCATAGTGAAACAGTTAATGAGAGAAGAAACGATGGCACAAAATGCCCATGATCCAAGAGAATACATACTTTACAACAAACAATCAAATAAATGTGCTGCTTTAACTAACTAAACCGGTTTGCTACTGCTACTATAACAGCCTTTAAATTAGTTTTTGGCTTTGAAACAGAACATGAAAGCATGCAGGACTTAGATCAATTCCATAGATAAATTTAAAGTGCAAGCATCTCTTGTTTTACTCAGCTTCAGCCGAGCTCTTCTGCCTGTACACATAAACATACAGCAGTGACTCAAAAATGGCTGAGAAGAGTTTCATTTATTCACTCACTGCAGCTGAGGAAAGGATGAGATGATCACCAAAAACGTGTGGCACTGACCTTTCATAATGCTGTGAGACGGCAGCTTCCAGAGGAGAGTGGGGCGACATATACAAACAGGCCTGCCACACTCTCAGGTTTCACTATTTAACGTGCACTGATGGGCGGAGACTGAACAATCTCCCAACTTTGAGGCAGCCTACTTTGAGGTTTTTTTCTGTGCTTTGGCCCTTTCTGGAGGAACTCTTCTCCCGCCCACTTTATCCATTCAGAAACGCACACACACACACACACACACACACACACACACACACACACACACACACACACACACACACACACACACACACACTGGAGGTCTGTGCTGCCTCAGTGTGGTGGGCTGATTGCGTAACATTTTGACACACATTCTCTCAGGGTCTGAGTGTGAAAATGACCAGAAATCAAAAGGAAAAGTCACGTTGGGTATCATGAACCTCCTAATTGTGCAGGTGTGAAAAGTTAGTTACTGAAACCAACCGATATGGTTTATGTAGCTATTCTTATATGTGTAAGTATAAATGTATTATCATCCATTCCACACAGATTAAATCAAATTCCCTTATTCTGCTAAATTTAATTTAAACATCATGCCATCACCGTGAAACCGCTCTAAACACATCCTCGATTCAGCCCCGGAAAGCGGCCTTCTTTATTCCTCAGACCAGATTTGCTCCTCACAAACCCAGCCGTCCATTCAGAACATTTTCCCACCACAGGAGTCCAGAGTGGGACTGGTCTGCAGCATTTGTTTTAAGGTCTCAATCCGGAGGGTTTGCACAGAGAGGGGGGACTGAGCAGGGGATGAAATTGCTTCTCCTCTTCCTGTTTTTTTCTTTTTTGGTAAATTTCTTTAGGAAAAGCTTTATTTTTTTTTTGTTTAACTACATTCAGTTGAAGGTTTTTGTTGTTGCCCACAAAAAACCCTTCAAATAAGAGCGAAAGAAACAACACTGACATGTACAACGCATCTTTTTCACATTCTGGTTCTTCTCTGCTGAATCTGTTTTATGCTTTATTTAACTGTTCTGTGTTGTTTCATGTTTTAACCTTTCTCTGGGTTAGCTGTTGACTTAGTGCCCACTCAACAGCGTTTGGTTGTGTAACATAAATTTAGAATTGTTTTTCATCTACTTTGGTCAAAGCCTGGTCTCCATTTGGGGCGTTGCTTCCTATTAGTATCTCACCAACGCTTGAATAGCTTTGCAGGTTTCAGCTTGAAATCAGCCCCCGTGCAGGTTTTAACGTCCAATATCAACAGAATCCCTTCACCTGGCAGCATTTCATGATGACTCATGAATGAAAAATAGAAAACTCTAGAAACACAACAAGTGAGTTTCTACTCAGAAATGTACAAAAGGAAGACATGAAGTCCTTATCTGTTTATGTTTTTCAATAATTCATTTTGTAATGTATTAAAGGGTGGGAGATGTGTTTTTCTGTTCGTGGTTAATCTTTTAGAATTGTATTTTATTATTACCTCTGTTATCTTGTTTTCTGTTTGTTGCACAGTAAGAGGACTCACTCCAAAAACCGGATGGTCTATCTCAAGCAGTTAACCCTCCTAAAAATAAGTTTAAAATTTAAGGAGACATCCATGATCAATCCAGCCTCTAGAGGCATAATATCAGACTTGCATAATTGAAGTTCAAACTTGCAAGGTTCTTCGGCAGCTGCTGTCAAATGTAAATGGGGACAGACACACACACTCATTCTATTTAAGGCAGTTCATCGTATACCCATGTCCAGGGATGGGTTAGCTCATATGTGTCCAGATGTAGACCCAACCCGTGTAAGATGTGGTCGCTCCCCTGGTACATTGGCTCATGTGTACTGGTCCTGCCCTTCTTTGTCTAAATTCTGGGTTTCAGTTTTTCATACATTGTTTGAAATTCTGCAACGTCATATTGAGCCGGATCCACTTTGTGCCATTTTTGGTAGTGATACCTAATCTTGACGTGTCCAAGTCCAAGTTTAAAGAATTACATTTTTCATTACTACTGGCCAAAAAAGCTATACTTCTTAGGTGGAAAGATTCGACACCCCTTCACATACACAATGGGCAAAAGATATTATGTCTTGTATAGATTTGGAGAAAATTAGGTATTCTGTGCATGGATGTAAAAATAAGATTTATAAATGATGGTATCCTTTTCTAGATTTCTTTGAGAGATCTATGACCATCGTTTTCAATTAGCCTACAAACCCACCCTTCTCCCATTTCATTTTTATTATTCATGTATTTTTGAATTTCGTTGCTATTTCTATTTTAATTTTACTCTTCAAAGTTGTGTTTTGATTCGTATACACATATAGGTTTGTTTGTATATTTGCAGGCTTTGGGTTGAAGTGTATACATGCTAACTGTTCGTTGTGGGATGAAAGAAAAAAAGTGTAAAGTCTGAGGTATTTTGGTTGTTTGATACTGAATCTTTGTTTAATGTTAAAAACACATCTGAAAAAAAAAAGAATGAGATATGAGTTGGAAGCATGCGAGAGAGCTTTGATTTCTTCTTTTCCCGCTTGCAGTTCCCGTGAATGGTGGTAAATATTTTCTGTGATCAGAACTTAGAATTGGGGGGAAAAAAAGCATTTCCTTGAAGGAATTTATACTAGCCACCATGTCTTACGTCAGAGATTTAAACTAATGTCATCTTTTGTTGAAAAGTGATACAGTTAAATCTAAATCAGTTAAAACCAGTTGTAAATGAAGATCTACTGATACTCTTCAAAAAGATCCGTTAACACTCGTCCAAGAGTTCATAGAATATTTTACCCGCAGACAGGTTGGCACCAACTGTTATGGAAATCTTTTAAGCAAAGACAGGAGACAAAAGGAGGAGTAAGGAGACAGGAGTCAAGAGGAGTAAGGAGACAGGAGACAAGAGGAGGAAGGAAACAGGAGTCAATAGGAGGAAGGAGACAGGAGACAAGAGGAGGAATGAGACAGAAGACAAGAGGACGGAGACAGGAGACAAGAGGAGGATTAACGCCCCCCACAGTCACAGACTACGCTAGGTCACAGATTTTGCTGTAACACTGGGCTGCAACAACAGGAAGAGTCACTGCATCGTTATGACTTCAACCACATCAGATTGGCCCAAATATTACTTCTTTATCTGTAAAAGTGACAATCATAATCGTGTTTGCTCTAATCTCTGTTAGCTGTGGCAGCCATCTTGAACTAGGTTAATTACAGTCAATCATTACCTCCTGAAAGTTTAATTGGACTCCCCCTGGTGGCTCTAGGCGGGGTCACCCCTCTGATCAGTAGTCTGTGAAAGGCAATGCGGCCGTGATGTAAAACCGCTGCAGGGAAAATACATCAAGTTTCTGTCAAACATCAAAAGAATGATGAAAACCTCTAATTTTTTCAATTATCAAGGTCTAGGCTGTGTTCATTAACGTGATGCAGCTTAAAAGTTCATGGCAACGTTTAGAACAAATGTCTTGGTCATTGTGTAGCGCTCCATGTTTGTGTTGGGCGTGACTCTCAGCTAACAACACCAAATTATAAGTTATTATCTGTACAACTGACAGATTGATATATTTTATGTCAGCTGATGTTGATAATTTAGTATATCCAATAAATATTTTATTATAAATTATATTTTTGCAGGTAAACGGCAAAATCTGTAATAACTGTATTCATCCATCCATCCATCCATCCATCCATTTTCAGCCACTTATCCAGAGTCGGGTCGCGGGGGCAGCAGCCCAATCCAAGAGGCCCAGACTTCCCTCTCCTCAGCCCCTGGGGCCAGCTCCTCCGGGGGGATCCTAAGGTGTTCCCTGGCCACTGACAGACATAGTCCCTTCAGCGTGTCCTGGGTCTTCCCTTGGGTCTCCTCCCAGTTAGACATGCCTGGAAAAGCTCACCAGGGAGGCGTCCAGGATGCATCCTAACTAGATGTCTGAGCAACCTCAACTGGCTCCTCTTAATATAGAGGAGCAGCGGCTCTCCTCTGATCCCCTCCCGGATGATGCTACTCACCCTATCTCTCAGGGAGAGCACAGCCACCCTGCGGAAAACAAATAATTTCGGCCGCCTGTATCTGTGATCTCGTTCTATATGTCTCTACCAAAGCTCTTGACCATAGATAAGGGTTGTGGGCGACGGTGGCACAGGAGTTAAGTGCTCGCCCCGTAATCGGAAGGTTGCAGGTTCGAGCCCTGCTCAGTCTGTCGCTGTCGTTGTGTCCTTGGGCAAGACACTTAACCCACGTTGCCTGCTGGTGGTGGTCGGAGGGACTGGTGGCGCCAGTGCTCGGCAGCCTCGCCTCTGTCAGTGCGCCCCAGGGCAGCTGTGGCTACATCGTAGCTCATCCCCACCAGTGTATGAATGTGTGAGTAAATGGGTGAATGACTGATTGTGTTGTAAAGCACCTTGGGGGGTTCCAGGACTCTAGAAAGCGCTATATCAAATACAGGCCATTTACCATTTACAGGCCATTTGAAACAGATCAACTGGTAAAAATCTCTTCACCACGACAGACCAGTGCAATGCCCACATCACTGCAGACATCAATCTGCCTGTCAATCTCACGCTCCTGCTTTCCCTCACTCGTAAACAAGACCCTGTGATACTTTAAGTCCTCTACTTGAGGCAGGACCTCATCTCTGGCCCAGAGAAGGCATTCAACTCCTTTTCAAATTTAAGACCATGGTCTCGTTCTCGATATTCCACCCCAAGTGAAAATTCATCAATTTAGCTGTTGCAGTTCACTTTTTCTGGCTTAGTTCATGCTGAGTTAAGGCTAACAGGATACTGCCAGATTAGAATGACTGGGCTGGTTACAAAATGCTTTTTCCCACTCGTCTAACTCTGGGGAATAATGCAACAGAGTAAATTTCACTTAGGGGTGGAATATCCCATCAAATTGACAATACACTTATTTTTGACAAAATATGTTAAACCTGACCTAGAATTTGTTACAACTCAGTAAAGTTTAGAAAACAATGGTATTGTTTGAAACAAGTCAGCATCTGTGTGAGCGTACCGGCAGGGTCACTGCTCTGACTGTAGTCTGTGAACTCTGAGGCAAAGCTAAATGGTCCTCAATAACCCAAGATGTGAAAAGTTTAAAGGTTCTTGACACGAGGAGCTAAAATTCAATCCAACATCAGTCCTGGTTTAAATTTTATTTTCAGTGTATCAGGTCATCTGAA